AAAAAAAAAAAAAAAAAGATAAAATAAAATAATAACAACAGTGGTACATAACCATTTGTAAAGTCTTTATCGGGCCTGCATTGCCTTGGTTAACTCTCAAAACAGTAGTACAAGGTAATGCTTATTATTACAATCTCTATTCAGCAGATAAGCACACCAAGCTCAGAGAGGTTAAGATACCCCTCGGCCATATAGCTAGGAGGTGGTAGAAAGGAGATTTGAATCTGACTTCAAATTCACACCTTCTTCCCTTCTACCAACTTTTCCCAAACTTTAGGTAGGTGTGCACTACACATGCCACCATGCATCTTCTCAATTTTTCATCAGTTGTGTTCCTTCTGTCCTAAACGTTACTTAATATTTTCTTTAGGCCAGGCACAGTGGCTCATGCCTGTAATTTCAGCACTTCGGGAGGCCGAGGTGGGCGGATCACCTGCGGTCAGAAGTTCAAGATCAGCCTGGCCAACGTGGTGAAACCCTGTCTCTACTAAAAATACAAAAATTAGCCAGGCATGGTGGTGGAGGCCTCTCAGCTACTTGGGAGGCTGAGGCAGGAGATTCGCTTGAACCCAGGAAGCGGAGGTTGCAGTGAGCCAAGACTGTGCCATTGCACTCCAGCCTGGGCAACAAGAGCAAAACTCTTATCTCAAAAAAATTTTTTTTCTTTGACTAATTTTTAAAATTTATACTTCATAATAGAAAGTTTTTATCCTTACTGTAAATGAAAACAGAATGATCGCCTATCATTAAAAAAAAGGTAGCTTTAAACAAGTATACAATTAGAAGAATGTGATTCAATTCTGGGTAGCTTTTGTTGCGTTCCTGCACATAAAATCAGAAAGACTGACTTTCTCATATGGTGATTAAATATTAATGCTATGAACATGAACTTCCTCAGTCATTTCATGCACAACTGGTGCTATGTGTTCCATATTCAAGAAAACACTGTTTTACACCACTCTACTTCTCAGCAGATCCCAAGGGCCAACATCACTGGAACAAACAGACCTGGAGGCTTGGAGGCATTGGGGTCTTCTGTTTACCCAGGGCAAGAATGTTCCCTCCCTTCCTTCCTTCCTTCCTTCCTTCCTTCCTTCCTTCCTTCCTTCCTTCCTTCCTTCCTTCCTTCTCTCTCTCTTTCCTTTTCTTTCTTTCTTTCTTTCTTTCTTTCTTTCTTTCTTTCTTTCTTTCTTTCTTTCTTTCTTTCT